GCATGTTGCGAGAATATGCAGGTGGCGAAGTCGCGCAGGTTCGATCCCTGGTGAGTGCATATTTTCAGAGTGATTCGCCAGCCTAGTGGCAATGCCCTCCTTCTCGGAGTGGGAGGAAGCGGCCGTCAAAGTCTGTCCCGACTGGCTAGCTTCATCTCGGACTTTGAATGCTTCCAGATAGAAGTGGCGAAAGGGTGGGCTTCCTGTCTTAGCGGAGCGATGCTTTTTTTTACAATTTTGTCATCAAGGTACGGTATGAACGAATTCCGCGATGATCTCCGGAAGTGCCTGCTGGGTAGCGGCTGCGAGGACAAGCCGCAGGTGTTTCTATTTTGCGACACTCAAATCGTCAACGAACAAATGGTTGAAGCGATCAATAACGTGTTGAACTCGGGCGATGTGCCGAATTTGTAAGCGAGGAGTTGCGATTGGTGTGGTATGGAATTAAATTGGTGTTTATGATAGATATAAGCTTGAGGATATGGATGCTATCAGCCAGTCGTGCCGAACGGCGTGTATGCAAGCGGGCCTGCAGCCGACGAAGACCAACTTGTTTAATACCTACCTTACGAGAGTCAAAAGGAACATCCATGTGGTGAGTGAAAAAAGTGCGGGGCGGTGGGGGAAAATATGCACGAAGTCAACTACATGTGTAGTGAGATTTGTGGAAATTTTGGTGAAAATCGAGGAAATTCTTGTTAGTTTCTGTACACTTCTACCCGAATTTGTATGTAAACTCCTATATAGACTCAACTGAGGAAAGCGAACATATATCCCAACATTGGTGCAGGGTGTGGGATTCGAACCTGGGTTGTCTTTGTGCAGGTCTTGGCCTTCTCCCCAGTAGGCGATGCTTTCCGTACGAGACTACGTATGTTCCCCTCGCTGGTGAACTGTTGTACCATCGACTGGTTCGCTGAATGGCCGGCTGATGCCCTTTACAGCGTGGCGAAGCAGCAACTCCTCGCCGACGTGAGTGTCTCAGTTTGAAATTGATTCCTTTGATAGACTGGACTACTGTTGAATGTAACTTAGGTTGAAGCGTTTAGGGTATGAATAAACCTCGAATTTAATAGCAGTTTTTTTTATATAGTAGTTGTCATTGGAAAGGATATCTTAGGAGTGATTTTGATTCCAAAATAAATTCGGAGTTGTATATGTAGTTTGAGCTGTACCGACCGTGTTGTGAATAATTACATTATTGCTTACCACGCCTTAGGATACAAAACTTGCCA